CTGGGATACCTGTGGGTTTCCCCAATGGGCCCAGCAGTGACCCCCTTTGATTTCTGTTTTTGCTAGGAATAATTTTTTGGAATAATTTTTTTTTGCATGTTGATCTGACCTTTCTGATCCTCTGTTACCTCACACTCTAAGCAATGCAGCGATATTATGGAATTATATGTCTAGAAGAGTCCACTCTCTGCTTAAGCAGTTTATTTCGTGAATGGAAGCAAGCCAGCCCAGAACAGTGGCCAAAACAGAGCTGCAACAGGCTGCCCCCTTTGTTAGTGGGTATTTTGAATTTGTCCATAAGAAACTTTAATTTTAATTAGTTGATTTCTTGCAACATACTGATTAACTAGAGATGAATCCAAAGATCTTTACTTGCATCATAATTATGGATGGATATAGAAAGCTCCATAGTTCTCGGGGGTTATAAACAACTTCTGATCACTGGCCCAAATATGCTTCTGGGACACTGATCAAATGAAGTCTAACCATTCTAAGAGCCAATCTACTACAAACCCACAGAACAGGAAAGATGTCACAGAACACCCTGCTAACCTGTGAATGCCATTCGACTTTAGACCTTCTAATAGGTTGAGACACTCAGAAGCCATCTCAGATCTCTATCTGGCGGTGCACTTCTCTCACAAGCCCAACCAACTCTCAGAGGGGCTACTTGCTTCTCTCTGGATATCTGGACAGTCACCAGCTGGTCATTTAGAGTGTTTGCCACTAAGAGGGCCAGCACTCCTAGTGCTTCTACCTACAGTGCTTATAGGCTTCACCTAGTGCCTGTATCTCCTGCTTTTGCTCCAACTAGCCTTTACAAGGACTACTTCACTGGCGCATTCCCAAGAAGCTACCTATCTTTTGGCCAGTTGCCTCTCTTCCCTGATGCCCTTTTATTTACATACTTGAGTGGGAATTACCATGATAATAGAGAACAATCTTACAGCATGTAAAGTAATAAGTAAGTTTTTTAAAAGAAAATGTCCACACAGGTACACTACACAGCAATGGATCTAGCAAGCTTGCAAAGTAAAGGTGCATGCATGCAATCCTCTGTCCGTTGGCTAAACAAACCCTGACTCTTCTAGGGTAGGCTCTTTGGTCTTAAACGTACAGCATTCTATCAATCATCCATTACCTTGAGTCTGCCTGCCCCTCTGTTAACTGCACAGATGGTAATGGTGACCATCAGGATGGAGACCAGGTGTGATTGCTCCTTCCTCAAAGTTATCCCCAAATGAAATCACCCAAAATGGACTTCTTTCCCCTCATGTCCAGGGAATTTAACTCCTCTGTGGGTCAGTCCTTCTCTTCCTGTCCTTCCCATGAAAAGATACAATACAGCATTAGGCATCCCCAAGTCTCTGTCACTTCCTAAGTGTTACATTCCTGGCAGGGAGTGTGATGACCCCTTTTATTTTTTTCTGCTGGCTAGAAGTAGTTGCATAACCAAGCCTTAAGTACTAAGTGCTTGAGAGAGCCATCACTGGGAAGGGGGCAATTAATCACTCTCCTGTTATCTGTTCTTGTAACTCACCAAGAAACTTCTCAGAATGAATGTGGGAAGTTCGTAATCCCCCAAACTCTCAATAGTGTGATGTAGCCCAAAGTGGAGTGTATTTCTTCACAGAGGGAAACAGAGAGAGAAATATCTTCGTTAAAAACTGGCTTTCCCCTTCCTGTTTCAGATACTCTATGAAGCTTGGGCATGGCCAGAGAGATAAACCCTTAGGAACAAGCCAAAGGCTCATAGCCCTTTGGCTCTTAGCCTGTGTCTTCAGGTGAGCCACTAAATAAGGCTAGGGCCAACCCAAGATATTATTGTTTGTTTCTTGTATACTGCTTCATTTATATAGTGTTTTTTTTTGTTTTTGTGGGAACCTGCCTTGGGTCTCTGGGGGAGAAAAGCAGAGTATAGAAACTTAAAGCAAGAAATAAATCATTTGATGCAGATTTTGCTGTACTTTACAGTTTCAGGCAGCAATTAGGGAACCTCACAATTAAATGCTCCCAACCCCCAAACTTTCATCTCACATAGTAAGTCAGCATGCCCAGGAGAAGAGTTCTAGGATGGCTTTTACCTCGATGTTGTAGTTTTCCACATGTAAGGATTTCTTTTGTATGGCAGATCTTCAAAGGTACCCACCTATAGTTTCTACTAATATATGTAATACAGAAAAATCCATACCACATGATTCTGCTGCATTCCCAGAAAAGGTCTGGCGGTTGTATATGGAAAATAGTGTTTATACTTGTATTTTCTCCCATCTCTCTGTGTCCCCAAATCAGAACAAGATGGCATCTTGGAATTTCCTTCTGGGGTTTCTGCTGTATCACACTCTCCAGGCAGCCTTGGCACAGCGGCCTTCACAGCCTGAGAACTGCTCTGGCCAAAGCCAGAAAATCTCCCTCAGCCACTCCTACAAGATCGATGTCCCTAAGTCCTCTCAAATCAAGGTGGAGCCAGACCCTCTGCCTCTCCAAGATGACAGCCACACTTTGCTGGTTGGCGGCGAAACAGATGAAGAGCAAAATATCATATTCAGGCACAACATTCGGCTGCAGACACCCAAAGGGGACTGTGAAGTCTTAAGCCAGCTCAAGACCTTGTTGGAAAGGATGGAGAAGATGGAGATAGAAGTGGTACATCTGAGGGAGGCCTGTAGTCCTCAGAGATGCTGTGGGAAAAGCCAAGGTGAGAACTGTGTGTGACCGCAGTGGTAGCAAAGGGGAAGTCATGTCAGTCTCTTGCGGCAAAATAAAACAAATGTTCAGTGGCATCTTAAAGACTAACAGCACTTATTTCAATATGAGCTTTCGTGAATCAGAGCTTATTTTCTCAGATATGTGACAGGGGGATCATAGTAGGAATCCTTCTTATGGGGAAGATTCCAAGAGGAAGGGGAAAGGAGGAGCTGAGGCAGACAGGTTTGGTGTGAATTCTGACATGAATCTTTTAAGTCTAAATTCTCTGTGTAAGGGGAAAAGGGAGAAGCTGAGGTAGAAAGGTTAGGTGTGAATCCCATCATAAATCTTCCAAGAATTTTGTGTGTGTGAAGGTGACTGAAATAGAATTTGCAGTTACACATAATGGATGAGGAGAGAAGTCACAGGTTAGAACAGATAAGTGAAGTGATGAAGTGGGACAGATAGGGTAAGTAACAACTGCTCAGGCAGTGGTAGGCCTGTACAACTTGTGACTCAGAATGCCTGACAGATGCTTGCCAACAGTGGGTTGGATCCCAGGGATCCATTTCACTGGTGGTGGCTATTTCCTGAGGTGCAGGGAGACTTTAAGGAGTAGGAAAATGCAGACAGCGTTTTTTGTTTAATGTTGTAACTAGCTGGAGCTCTCCTCTTGGCTGCTGCTTGGCTGCCATTTTAGGAATTCTCTTGAAACTTGGGGGTTTTTAGATCAGAGGAGTATGTTCTGTGCAAATGTGGTGCCATTATCTTTAGAAACAGCTGCCCCAGATATTTTAAACATTACAAATTGAAAATAATGGTCCTGAACTTCAAAACCTGACAGATTTGAATCCTGAAATGTAGTGTCCTACTCAGAAATCAGCAATCATGGTAAAAATCTCTCCCTCCCAAAGCCCAGGTCCAAAGTCATGACAATAGTTCTCAACACTCCCCCCCCCCTCCCGGCAACCCTGTGCCACTTACACCCATATGGCATCCCCTTCATATCTGCTAATTTACCCTTATTTTACTATTAACAGGCACTGGATATTAATTTTCCTTGAGGAAACGGGACTTTATTATTCTTATTTTTGGGGACTGCAACAGTAATGCATGACCATGAGTAGCATTTTCAGGCTTTCTCACGAGCCATGCAGCTAGATTTCACCCTCCCCACAATGATTTAACTTCTGTAGATTCCCATGATAAAGGCAAAATGCACTTGGATTGCTGGTTCAATAATACCTCCACCTACTTGACTTCAAGGGGCTGCGGTGGCTCAGAGGTTAAGATGCTGGGTTGCAGACTGGAAGGTCTGTAGCTCGGCAGTTCGAGACCCGAGTGCCGCGTGTCGGAGTGAGCTCCCGTCTCTGGACCCAGCTGCTGCCAAGCTGGCAGTTTGAAAGCAAGAAATTGCAAGTAGATAAATAGGCACCGCTTTGGTGGGAAGGTAACAGCGTTCTGTGCACCTCGGCGTTTAGTCATGCCGGCCACATGACCACGGAAACATCTTCGGACAGCGCTGGCTCTTCAGCTTGGAACCGGAGATGAGCACCGCCCCCTAGAGTCAGATTTGACTAGTTTTCGAGCAAGGGAAACCTTTTTACTTGACTTCACCTCTTCCCTGTCATAGGCAAGGCCCTCTTTTTGGTGTGTGCAGAAGGAAACCAGGACCCCCAAACCTTCATTCCAAGCATAACAACTGGACCCTTCAGTTACTGTGCTCCTACTGGGTTTGTTAGTGGATTGCATTTTTAACTCTGTCCCTTTCTTTCTGTCGTGTGCTTCTTATGGTTCTGGCCTGTGTGTGCCCGACAGGTGTTTCTTCCTGTAGCGGCCGCGGCACTTTCATCCAAGAGCTTTGTAGCTGCCGATGCGATGAAGGCTGGGAAGGCGAGGACTGTTCCCGCGCTACCTGCCCAGGGAACTGCAGTGACAATGGTCGCTGTGTTGGGGGCTACTGCATCTGCAATGCACCGTATGCTGGTGAAGACTGCAGCCAGCTCCTGTGCCCTGGGAACTGCAATGCAAACGGGGTCTGTATCGATGGGGTCTGCCAGTGCTACAAGGAATACATGGGGGAAGACTGCTCCGAGAAGAGGTGCCCCAATGACTGCAGTGGCAACGGATACTGTGACAGTGGCGAGTGCTACTGTGAGGATGGCTTCATTGGGCTTGACTGCTCCAAAGGTAAGAAGACTACCTTCATTGAGCAGATGCACCTTACCATGAGGCAAAGAGAGGCAGCCGATTACTGTGTCCTAAAGGGGCTGCGGTGGCTCAAGTGGTTAAGACACTGAACTGCAGACCGGAAGGTCGGTAGTTCAGCGGTTCGAGACCCGGGTGCCGCATGACGGAGTGAGCTCCCGTCTCTGGTCCTAGCTCCTGCCAACCTAGCAGTTTGAAAGCAAGAAATTGCAAGTAGATAAATAGGTACCACTTTGGTGGGAAGGTAACAGCGTTCCGTGGAGAATGAGCCAGCCCCTATCTGCATAATGCTGCCCTTTCATTTGCATAACTCCACTGGAGGCTCTGTTTCTTTTTGCTGTGATGCTTCAACGGAAGCTGGGCAGCTGCTTTTTAGGTAGCTCCACCCAAAAAGAAAACCAACATTTCTCAAGATTAGAGTCCAGTAGCACCATCAAGACCAATTAATTACAATTTTTTTTTACAAAAATTACAAGACCAACTAGATTTTCAGGGTATAAGCTTTGGAGAATCAAAGCTCCCTTTTGTCAGCTATGCTACAAAGGAAGCTTTGACTCGAAATCTTGTACCCGGGAAACCTAGTTGGTCTTTAAGGTGCTACTGGACTCAAAATCTCGATCTTCTACTGCAGAGCAACACCTGAAACATTTTGCGATCCTCTGTTTGGAAGTAAGGTACAGAAAATTACCGCATTAAGCAAAACAAGTAGACCTGTGTCAAATGGATTAATTGGCTGTGCAATGTTAGCTGAGTTACATGAGTAATAGTCACTTGCATAAATAATCGATTCATGGAAGTTTGTGCAAAGTTAATGAGCTATGCAAAGAAACATTAGAGTGTGTTATATTGCATTGATTTGCATCATTCATTTTGTGTGCACAATTCAACGAACATTAAATCAGTCAAAACACTGAGGGAATATATATATGTCTGTCTGTCTGTCTGTCTGTCTGTCTATCTATCTATCTATCTATCTATCTATCTATCTATCTATCTATCATCTATCTATCTATCATCTATCATCTATCTATCATCTATCTATCTATCTATCTATCTATCTATCTATCTATCTATCTATCATCTATCTATCTATCTATCTATCTATCTATCTATCTATCTATCATCTATCTATCATCTATCTATCATCTATCTATCCATCCATCCATCCATCCATCCATCCATCCATCCATCCATCCATCTCTCTATCATCTATCTCTCCAAATGCCTGAGAAAATAAAAAAATAAGATATTCACCTAGGACCTAAATTCCAAGAGAGGGGCTATAAGCAATGTTCCTTCTAAGCTGTGGAGTGAGCAAAAATTCTACTTTGTGAGCTATTGGCATTAAAGTTGTGAGTGAGCGATTTGGCTACTACTGCATAAATTAGTTTGCTCTGGAGCCATCCTTCCTGAGCTAAGGCAAAAATGTGTGAGCTGGAGGCTAAAAACTGTGGGCTAGCTCACACTAACTCAGCTTAGAGGAAACACTGGCTACAAGAGGAGCAGAAGTGGGAGAAAGGCTCAACATACAGGGCACCACAGCAGAAGACACCCTGTCCTGAGTGGCTGCCCAGCATTTCAGATGGCAAGGGCACATGGAGCAGGACTTCGGTTGAAGATCTTAATACCAGGCAGGTTCATACAGGACCAAGGAGTCCCTACCCTGATCCTAGGCTATTTAGGACTTTTAAAGTAAGAACTTGAACCTGGAAACAAATCGGTATTCTAGCTCTTTTTCTGAACTTGCTCATATCCAACTGACCTTTGGACCAATTGAACAGTCTTTAAAGTCAGCCCCATGTAAACTTCATTACAGTAGTCTAACCTAGATGTGATCAGGCCATGGACGACCAGGGCATGGCCAAGTCTTGCTTATCCAGGAAGTGGCCAGTCTGGCAATCCAGTTGAAGATGATTAGAAGAGAGAAGAGATTGGATTTATACCCCACCCTTCACTACCCGAATGAGTCTCAGAGGGGTTTACAATCTCCTTTCCCTTCTCCTCCCCACAATGGACACTCTGTGAAGTAGGTGGGGCTGAGAGAGCTCTTTTGAGAACTGCCCTTGAGAGAACAGCTCTGAAAGAACTTATCACTGACCCAAGGTCACACCAGCAGCTGCATGTAGAGGAGTGGGGAATTGAACCTGGTTCTTCCAGATTACAGTCCGCAGTCTTAACCACTACAGCAAACTGACCATATGGCACCTTACTGTTTAACCAACAAGGTAGGACTCTGCCCCAAGGTGTTTACAATCTACAATTTGTAATGAGGAAGATATCAGAGGCAGGGAAGGACTGGAAAAAAGTAACAAAAGATGCAGAGGTAGGAGCAAGTGTGGTTACTTGATCTTGAGTTCAGGTAGAGTGATACAGATTCAAGGAAGGGGGACAAAGGTTTAAAATGAGAACCAGTATGGTGCAGTAGTTAGTGGGTTGGAGCAGGGCCTGGGAGGCCAACGTTCAAACCCTAAGTCAGCCGTAAAGCTCAATGCGGGATCTGATGGGCCAGTCACACATTCTCAGCCTCGTCTGCCTCGCAGGGTTATTGTGAGGTTAAAACAAAGAAGGGGGGAGCCATGTAAGCTGCCCTGAGCTCCTCAGAAGAAGGGTAGGATAAAAATTTACTTGAGAAGCAGACAGTGTAATGGTCCAAGTGCTGGATGAGGGGAGATCTGGGTTCAGATCCTCACGAAGCCATGAAGATCACTTAGTCCGATCACTATCCTTGTTCCAGGTGGGTAGCCGTGTTGGTCTGAAGCAGCAGAACACAGTTTGAGTCCAGTGGCACCTTTAAGGTCTTGAAGGTACCGCTGGAGTCAGACTTTGTTATCCTTGGCCCAGTCAGTCTCCCTAGCTTCTCGGAAGATGGGCAAGGTTAGAATGCAATACGTCTGACGGACAAAGTAATATCACATAAGTATTTTGGGATGGGTCCTGACCTGGATGGCCCAGGCTAGCTTGATCTCATCCGATCTTGGAAGCTACGCAGGGTTGGCCCTGATTAGTTCTTGGATGGGAGAC